CAGGGGAAGGCGTCTTCTTCGTCATCGACATTAAACGTAATCAATAGAGCGAACTTCTTTAATTGAGCATCGTCAACGTGCGAGAGACAAAAGCGAAGCGACAATCAAAACTAATTGAATGTACAGTGCAAAAAATACAGGGAAAAAAATGGTAGAAAAAACAGAGTATTGATTGGCTTTATGTCAAGTTAACAACAGGGAAAGAAATGGGATCAGGAAAGTAGGACTAAAAAATCAAGAGATTCCGGAAAAGATTCCCATTAAAGGTCTTAATAAAACTGTGCTTTTGATTTACTTGAAGGTTATGCAAATAAATATATAATGTATATATAATATATTAAATATCAGATCTAGAAATTACAACCAATTTTAACGTTATAAATTTGACAGTATAAGCGAAGTTTTAGATCTAAAACTATTGTTTCTATAATGAATATACAAATTTGCAAAGTTTTTGAGTTTAAAAATAGATGTATTATCTTTTTCTTGATATAAATCAATCAATACAATTTTCTTACAGATCATAATCGAAGTTATAGACCAATAAACCAAGCTATTAATAGTTTTTAAACTTAATTTCTATATGAAATTATTATAATTAATATTTAAGTATATTTTTCTAAGCTTAAATTCAAGTAGAATCAGAATATTTAAATACATATTAACCCACATTTGCCGCTTTAATAACAATCCAATATCCGTTTTGCATATAATTATTAGACACATAACCCACCCTCCAAAAAGGGGTAATTATGCATTGCATAGTTATGGGCGCTATCGATTTTGGCAGTCAAAATGGCAAATTGATGGAGCTGCAAGCCAAGGCAAAAGTTGGCCAGACAATTTGCTACCAAGTAAAGACCCAGAACAAGACCAAGAACAGGTATTAAAGCGGTTGTCATGGATAAAAAACGGAAACTATGGAGGGGAAGTTCTATCCACGAACTTACGTGGGAGTGCCAGACTTTATTATAATGCTTCCGTTGATCGATGGGTTGGTCATATATCAAGGTGTGTGCTAAGATATATATACACACATATATACCTTTTGTTAATTGAATCAAAATAAGATTTAATGAGGCTTTAATTGAGCTTTAAAAAAGTAAATTAATTGTATATAAATTACTAAAGGGTGTGTTTTGAGGTTTATTATAATATAATATATAAAACTGTAAGCTTTATAAGCTCTATATAAAATGAGTAATATTTGTACTATTTTCTATTTAATCGAAGCAACCCAATTTGTATGCAGCTGTACAACGAATATTCTAATCACTATGAAATCATCAATAACAAATTAAAGAAGACACTTGTTTGTGAATTTAGAACATTGCCTCAAGCAGGGAACTCTATATAAAGAGAGATAACGCTTGTATTTATACTGAGAAAACAGAGCCGATTTCCATGAACATCATCTCTTTTTGAGCACTATCAGTGCCTGGCCTTTTCCTTTTAAAATGTGTGTGTGTGTGTGTGTTTTTTTAGCCCGCGGGGGTTATCACTAATGTGGTTCCAGAGTTTCTTAGTCAGACAGCCTGGTGTATAGATGTATTTAGTAGTTGTGGTGGCTCTAACTCAATAGTGACCGAATGCGTCAGCACTGAATAAATAATGCCTAGACCTTAGTCAATGGCCAGCTACAAGTTTTTTTTTCAACATTAGAGTGAGGCACCAACACAGAAGTGTTTCTGACCGCTTAACTTGGCCATTAGACTCTATTGTCGATTGCTCATTTGTTGACACGCAACGCTGGCTTTTGGCCTGGCCAGCCGGTGGCGGCAGTCAACAATATAAAACCAAAAGAAACAACAAAAAATATAAATAAATAAATACAAAAAAACGATGTGTTACTCACAAACACTTGGAGAGGGTGGTGAGAGGATGGATTTCAGCTATTTGAATTTATTTGCACAACCAAAATGAACCAATAACAACAATGCAAAAGGCCTCCTGGGGTCTGCCAATGATGAATCAAGTGGAATTTACATATATATTCCAGATATATATATTCCAGGTGACCCCCATAAATTCTCTGTTTTAAGATACTAAAGATTTCTGGGGAATTATACTCGAGTAAAGTCTATAAATGATTTATTTCATTGCTTATAAATCGTTTACTCAAATAATAAATAAAGCATTGTCAGAATTAAATGGTGTTTATCTTGTTTTCTTTAGGATTTAAGGGTAAAAGCTGATATTAAAAATCAAATGCTATGGTAAATAATCTTTTTGCGGAATTAAATTGTCTGACAATTTATTTATGGGGAATTTCCCTGAAGAGGTAAGTTTCATAAGTTCAAAGTTAACTTATTTTATAAAATAATACCCTTTAGCTTATCTAAAAAAGTTATTCTCCTATTAATATTAAATTAAACAAATCTATATATTTGCATATAATTAATCGTATGATTGTTCTGGTTCTACATTGTTCATAAATATTTTTTCAAAAATAAATCCTTTCTTTTAAATATCTCTAATAAGTATACTAATTAAGACATCATATTTTATACTCATATATTCAATAGATTATAATACTATATATTTTACAAAATATTCTATACATCTTTTATTATCAAAATATCAGTAATTTGCTAAATGAAATTTTGCTAAAAAAAAGTTCCCTTAGATACCCTGACCACCTTGACTTTGTAAAGACCTTTTTGGTATTTCGTCTTTCGTATTTGTTTTTCAAAATATTCATATGGGACCCAATTGTTTGGTAAACAAATTGTATAATTGCGTCTAAATTCCCGTTGAATTGAATTTTTGCCCAGAGTATTTGCGATTCGTTGATTCGTTGGCTGAGTTTTGTGTACACAATACAAGTCCCAAGTAGATGCTGCCGCTGGGCTGTTGATTTTACTTTTTGCTTTTGCTGATTGGGAATCGCCAGTTTGGCGACTGTGAGCTCGCACAGCTATAGATACAGATACGACGCACTCGTCGGCGGCAGATACTTTTATACACATTCTTTTGCCGCGTACTTGTAGCGTCTATGAAATCGCTTTATATTAAGAGAGAGAGAGAGAGCCAGCGTAGTAAATAAAACGCAAAACGCGAGACGCCAACGAAAAATATATGCCGTGGAATGCGAATCATCAGACGCAAGACGCGTGTATCTCTAGCTGTAGATGTATCTGTATCTGTTGCTCTATCTGAGACATCGACTACATCCGATTCGTAACTGCAGGGGGATTCTTTTTGGGCCCCAGGGCCGCAAATATTTTTGCATAAGCCAAGTCAAGCAGCTGTTTATAGCCTCACATGTCAGCTAATTGAATCGCTTTTGGGTTCAGATCTCGCAGACATCAGCGAGACAGCCTTAATCACTTGCGTCAATGGATTTGCTAGCCGTTAACGCTTACCTGGCCGAAACGAGCAACGAAATGGTTTCGAAACAGACGGAATGGCATCATTACGCCCGGGTAACGGATTTTCCCGGGTAAAACCCATAAAATCATCAATAGACCTTAAGGGATTTCGCAGGCCAAGGATCAGCACTCCTCGGGGCCACTTGACTTGAGGCACTTGAGCCTGGCGCTAGTTTCTAAATCCCTTAAATCCCTCCAGCACAGGTCAGACTTTTCGGCTGCCGGTAATTAAAAGTTGGTAGTGAAAAGCAGCAAAATTTAAATTAGACGCAGGTAGAAGTGAAAATTTCCAAGGAAAATCCTTGCCTTACAAAAGTATCTTTTGAACTCGGTAAGTGAAAAACAATAGCTGTTGAGATGCAGTAAAAGATAAACCTGATCTGCTAAGATAATATTTGTTTTAATAAGGGATCTTGATCTTACTATTAATAATTATAATAAAATAAGAAAAGCTAAGATAATATTATGTCAAAGTATGGAAACATAAAGTTATTTAATTTTAATTGATATTTTTACAAAAGTATCTGGGTCAATCTTGCTCTGTTTTCAGTATCTTTTATTTGACTTTTTGACCCAATCTTAAAGTTATTCCATCTGTTATATATCTGCCCGATATTGTCGTATTGCGAGTATCTACTAGATAGTATCTACGTCACGTATGGGCTTATCGGAATGAAAGTGAAATGCGGTTGACTTTGGCCAAGTATCTCTAAGTACGGCATAATCTTTTCCGATACGCTGGCACACACACCGAGTTACGCAGATACCTTATTGTTTTGCTATATATATTTATATATATATATACTTTATTGGAGTACATATATAAATAAGCGTATTTAAGTGGCCGTGTGAGGAAAGAACTCTGCCGTGAATCACGCCATTTGGCCTTATCAACCGAAGCTCTCATCGGTTCTATTCCAGTATTTTATGCCTATGTGCAGAGCACGCACTTTATCAATCCATATGCATATGTATGTGTGTCTGAGTATCTGTGTGTGGCTTTGTATCTGTGAGATTGCTTTGTGCTTGGCACCCATAACAACTGTATTAAACGCCATTCGACATGAGTGGAAGCCCATCTGCTTTCCCCCACACACAATCCGTATCTATAAACATTTCTATTTTACTTTTAGTTTTTTTTTCACTTTTTTTTCCGGGAAACCTTATTGATAGGCCCCCTGAAGGTCATTTCTATATCTCCCTCGGTTTAGTTCTCTATCTAAGATTCGTTGGAAAGTCGTTGTATTATTTATGCCTTAACAGATTGTCAGATGTTTGACTGAGTCATGGTAAATACTATGTATATCAGGGATTTTCTGATATGTTAATTACTCAGAAGAGGAAATTTCGAAAAAGATGTTTCATAATATATTGAAATATATAAAATATATGAGTTTCACTTAAATCTTTTCAGTTTTTATAACTTATTAGGTTTCTTAATCCTTTAGAAATAATAAAAGAGTTGGAAATCTCTTTAAGGAATACCTAAAAGTATGCAATAAACCGAATTCTGTTGGTGAAAAGCAAGTAAATTTTATACATCATATTATAAGATGCATTTAAATGCTATTTCAACTCGTTTTAATAAATTAAAATGTATTAAATTTAGTCAGAAAAAATCCTTCTTACCTTTTAGTTTTTCACGTGCCGTTTCCAAAGCACTCTTCCTTGAATTCACAGTGGATTCTATAATAAAAAAATAAAAGGAATCAAGTTTTAGTAAACAATCTCAAAGAAAGCATATAAAGTTTACAATACTATGTTAAATATTCAAGTGCATTCTCAATGCTAGATGCTGAGACAAAAAAAATGCTCCCACACAAAAACTGCCACTGGCATTTCCACTTGGTGACGTCAAATGCGAAGGCCAGGAAAATACCGAGGCGCACAAGAGAAAATCGAAGCGAATCGGATATAGAGGAAAGTGCACAGACACTCACACACACACACACCCACTTCATAGTCAATAAAGTATTCAAATGGCGTTTTTAGTGGGGGGAAAACCCCGAGTAGAGGCAGAGGCCAACTGTTGCCAATTTCCATGGTTCGAAATTTAGGAGGGAGGGAGTCCCATCATCAAAACCAGGCTGCAAATTCATTCTGTTTACAGGCCAATTTTCTGCCCTGCCCTGCTCTTTGCTAATTTTAAAATAGATACATTTTTCCCTATGCTGTGTGTGTGTGTTTGTGTTTTGTTTTTGGGTGGGTGAAAATCTCGTACCAATATAATTTGAAATATTTTCGTTGGATTTTTGCGCAAAGTGAACGTGAAAAACGCATTGACGAGTGTTTAAAAATAGCTTTTTTTTTTGGTATATGTTCTTTGCCAAATTGTGGCGAAATTCCCAATGAAGGCACTAAAAATACCGCTACTGAGAAATCTTTTAAATTGAAATCTTTTTTTCCTTAGATTTTCTATGAGCAGCTGTCCCCCAGACACTTGAAATGACGCACTTTTTTTTCTGTTTTGATAAGTGTGAAGATTAGTATTTGAAAGCAAAAAATGGGAATGCCCCTTTTAAGGGGAAATAAAATCTAGATTTTCCTTAACAGTAAAGAACATAAATTTAGCTTTAGTTTTTCGGAGAAAGCAATAAGATTTGAAATCGTTGGGATTGATATATATTTCTTGGTTACAAGTATTAAAAACTTAATAAGAAGTGTAGGAATTTAAAAACCAAAACATTTAACCTATTTTTAAGCTAGTTTAGCAAGTGAATAAATAATTTTTTTTATTGATATATCATGGCAAAATGCTTAATTAATTAATAATAATATTAATTCATATTTAATACCTCATATTTTATCTCTTATTGTTAATTACAGTCCCTATTACTTAGGGAAAACCCTTCTGTACTATTAAGAAGACCATTTAAAATACACACAGTACCCCTAAATGTGATTGTGGAATATTGAATGAGGCAAAATGATGTGTGCTTATCAGCTGTTTGGGTTAGTTCTGGTCAACTTTATGGACTTGATGTTGTAAAGCACTCGAGTTAAATCGCCTCAAGTGGCTGCACTTTGTACGCTCTCAGCGATAAGCCAAAACCAAAGCCCCCCAAGATCCCTTCTTCCAGCTTGTAAGGAGCCCCGTAAAATATGCAAGGCAAGTTGGCCAGAACAAACATATGTATATAAATATAAAAAGATATATATATATATATAAGAGAGAGAGAGAGAGAGGTGGAGAAAAACCTGCATGCAAATTAAAGCGGACACCAGGCAACCAGCAATGCAAGGCAGGCAACAGCTGGCCAAGAAACCTGGCTAAAAACATTGTTGGCCCAGGTAGGACGCCCCCCTCCGCGAAAGTCGAGAACGTGGCCCCGATTGCTCACGCATCTCCATCTCCAATCGCATCTTCCGCTCCAGGTTCCCAGCTCACAGCTCCCAGCTCCTCCGATCTCCTCCAGTCTCTGCCTTTTTTTTACCACCTGCCTCACTTGTTTATGGCCGCGACTTGTTGGCGACCAACTTTGGCTTTGGCTCTTTGGTTGTGGCTCTTCGACTTTGGCTTCTCCTTTTTGCCAAAGCGGAAACATGCGCATCAAAGACGCAGCAATAAATGCACTTGCCAAAAATTAATATAAAATTAAACAATGTATTTCAAAAGCTTTTTAATTAAATAAATACAAACTTGAGAGTTACATTTTAATTGTTAATATAATTAAAAGTAAAACTATATCAAGATTTTTAAGTGCTTAGAATATTTGATTTTGATTCTCTTAAGTTCATATAAAACAATAAAGGCGAAGTTTAAATACCCTTTTAGTTTTTAGTTTTACTATTTCATTCAAATCTCAATTCAAGAATTAAAATGACTAAAATGTTGGCAATTTTTGACACATTTTAATGATGTAATCCCTTATAACAATTTGAAAATTTTGAAAAAAAACAAATATTTTTGCCGGACATAGCTAGATTGATTCCGCTTTTGATGCTGATCAAGAATATATATTATATATATTTATAGAGTCGGAAATTACTTCTTCACAGAGTTAAAAGCATCTGCACCCTGCAAGGGTATTAAAATAGTTTTTGATTTCAGATAAATCTGGCTTACATGGCGTATACTTAACGTAAAAGCCCTTAAATTAAGTATACGCCATGTGTTCCATATGAGAGAATAGTTTAAAAATTTATAAAGATATTTAGTTACAAAGCAAGTTTAGCAATTCAATTATACCATCGAATCGGAAATCGATCAAAACTAAGCTTTAAATATTTGATATTTATAAATATTTGTATATGAAAATGAAATATACAAATCGAAGTTTAAAAATGTCATAACTAAGCCAAAAACCCATTAATTTAAATTCGGTAAACTTTCCTATGTTAGTTTTTGTTAGGCTTATAAATCTACATACTTAATTTAAAATATAAAAAAATTAAAATTTTTTGCCAATTTTTCACAATTTTAACGATGTAACCCCTTATAAAAATATGCAAATTTTTTGAAACTTTTTTTTCTACCAAAGATGGCTAGATCGATTCTGCTGTTGATGCTGATCAAGAATATATATGATTTATGGGGTCGGAATTGAGTCCTTCATAAAGTTACAAGCTCCTGACTAAACATAATAGAGGTATAAAAATTCCTATAGTTCCTAATGGATTTATTTCAAATAAATTGAATTGAATGATAATAACATTTAAGAAACGCTTAAAATTGTCAAGTTTTAGCTTTAGTTATTATTTAGCTTATATGATATATTATTATATATATTATATTTTATATTTTCTTTCATAAAAAGTTAAAAAAACAGCAACCTGTATTTTGTTTAAATGAAAGTTTCGCTTCCAGGAAATTGAATGGGATGTATCACGTTTTTTTCTGCGTGCATGACAGATTGAAATTGGCAATGTCGTCGTCGTCATCGCTTTTGAGCCTCTTTTTCTTTTAGCTCTTGGGCCAGGTCTCAGTTTTTTTTTATCGTACTTTGTTTTGTTTTTTGTTTTTGCTCGATAAAACTGGTTACGAGGTTGCTGCAACCAGTTTGTTCACTGAATACGTGTGCTGTGCGTTTTCTTTTTTTCTCTGTGCTTTTCTGGGGGAAGCCTCACATCGTCGCTGTTGTTGTTGTTGTTGCTGTTGTTGCCTTACTAATTGCTGGCTCGAATGTTTATAGAACAATTAACATTTGCGGCTCATTACGCATACGGTGGGGCGCATGAGCTCAGCCAGCTGAGCTGAGAGCGGAGATGAGCTGCCATGCGATGTGATCATAGCCAATGGGGCGTATGAGTAATGTCCCTTGAGGGGCTAGGAAATCCGTATGAATATACTGACAATGAAATGATTCAGCCATCCAATTAATTCGTAGTATGTATATATTTATATTTAGAGATGTGTTCTAGGTGATTCTTTGGGATAAACTATATAAGATTGATTCCAGTTGGAACAAGTGGTCTAGTGTAAACTTCAAGTAAGAGCAAGAATATATCTTTACATAATTTTTGTTTTTTCCTAAAGGATCTATATGCATAATATATTTTGCATATTTATTACATTTTAAATGTAAAAGTAGCTAATAATATAACGTATTTTTTAGGCATCTGATTTATTTAAATACTTTTAAAAGGTATAATCCACTACCCTTATGTACCTTTAATATTTAATTATGAAAAAAAGACACAAATTATACTTCAAATTTAGGTAATATAAAAGTATATCAAGCAGAAATTTCTGTTTTATTTATATTTCCTGCCTTATTTATTATACAAACAACATTGCATTACATTATAAGCCTTTGCAACTTTATAATATTATCTTAGTGACTTACTGTTGATGACAAAAATATTCTTTATAAATTTGCAGATAACCATATACAAACTGATAATATTTTCTACACCATTTTTGTTATGACTCTCTTGGTTTATTTATGGCTAAAAAGCAGAGGAAAGGTGACATGCATCAGAGGAAATACCAAGGGAGATGACTCTTGGGAATAGATAAAAAAAAACCTAAAGTTCTCCTCCGTCAACGTCATCAGAATTCAATTTCCAGCAACGTAATATTCCAAAAAATATACAAAATATAAAAAATAAAACCCGCCCGCTATACGTTTTCAATTTCGTTTTCAATTTCATTCGCAAAACTCAAATCATGATGTAGTCGCCTGTTGATTGCGTAATATTTTGTGGCTGCATTTTAATTTGATTTATATCACTCAAGTTTTTTTGGGCAATTTTGCTTCACTTGCTCTAAATATAGCCACAAACCCAGGAAAATGAATACAAAACAAAAACAATTTGCCAATTGCTTTGTTCTTCCAAGCTTTGTCAGCCAAACCACAATAAAAATATAGAAATAAATACAAAATAAATGAGGAATAAAAATGCATTTTGCGCATTTTTTTGTGACTGCCAATTTTGTTTGTTATTCTTTTCCTTTTTTTTTTTTTTTTTTTGTGCAGCTGCTGTCACATTTTATTCAAGACACAAAAAATAAATGTACAGAAATACAGAAAAGAATATGGCTTTATGGATATGAACAGCAACTCGGCTCCGGGCAGCTGTTCAAGTTGGCTTTTAGGAGGGACTGAACTGTGTCTGCGGATATCTAGAGTGCGACCCACATGGAAATATTTGCCTAACTATGCCAAGAATTCATGCCGTGTGCGTGTTGTGTGGGGACTTGCACAACAAATCTACCCAACAGAACCCATTGAGATCCTGACAAT